TGGTACCTGTGCAGACAAAATTGATGTTCCTGTGGATTTCTGCTGATGCTGCTCCGCACTGGTGAAGTCTCAGAGAGCCCTGGATCAGTTGTATCCAGAGTGTGTCCCTGCTCTGCCTCCTTAGGCACAGCCTAGGGCCGTGGTTTGCAGGTCCTCCAGCAAAATGTCCTTCATTTGTCCTTAAGAACCTGGAGGCATCAGCGACCTCCTTGTGCTTTCAGGTCAATAACAGACTAATATTCGACTTGCAGACACTTTCACAGCAAAACCTGTAATCTTTAACTTCATTAAAATTGTTCTCATTTCGCTGTGGCAAAGCAGAGCCTGTGAATCATGATTAGTGAAAGCAGAAGGCCAGGCAAGAGATAATTAATTTCTCTTTCCTATTCAGAAGGGTGCACTGCTCTCACTCAGTGGAGGATTTGTGCCCTTTAGACAAAAGGCTGACAAGTGTCACTTCTTAATCTTCTCTGTGTGCGGCTGTTTGTCAGGATGAGATGGTCCTGCTGCAGCCCCAGTCCCCAGAGCACTGCTGGTTATGACAGTTGCTATTTGCAAGTCAGCTGCAAAATGCTCCCTCTTTATTCCTCCAGCTATTTTTAGCACTGCTTTTTAGATTGCAGTAAAACAAAAGACATCCCATATTGGTGATAACCAGGTTGTAGTGATTTCTGCTCTTAAGGGAGAGGCATATTTGGTGATGGGAGGAGAAGGGCTTTCCAGTGCATGTGAAACCCATCTGCTGGCTGTCACCCATGGCAGAGCCACCTCTGTCACCTGTGCCAGATCCCTTTGGAAGCACATCTCCCTGCCAGCACATCCAGCATGTGGTGGTTCAGCAGGATAGCTGGAAGCAGGTGAGAAGCAGCTTGGTTTCTTCAGAGGTCAGGCAGGAAAAGTGCTGAGTATGCAGCAGAGTGGCAGGGGAGGGAGCACAAGGGCTGTGCTTAAAGAGCTGAAAAGAATACACAGTGGTCCCTGGAGCTCTCTTCCTCCCTGCTTCAGCTGCAAGAGAAGCAAGTGAGTGAATGGGAAGGTCTATCCCACCTATCTTGTAATCGCACCCAAAGCAGCCCCCTCACCTCAGCATCCTGGCTTCTCACTGAGCGCTTGACAGACAGAACTTGCTGAGCTGGATATGAGCATCCTAAATTTAGTTGATGCAGCTAAATGGTGCCTGCTGGTTTTAATTTACATTCATGCTAAATTTCTGCAGTTATATTTTCCCCTCCCCTCTCCTCTCAAGGGAGAAGCAATGGCTTTCTTGGAGGTAGCTTATGATTTTTCTAGACATAAATTGTTTCCATTCCAGGGTTATTGGCAATACCAAAGTATATGTCCAGGAATTGGTCAAAGCCAAGGAGCCTGATTTAGAGCTGCTGCTTCTAATGTCTAATAAAGCAGTACTGCAAAAGGTTAGCAACGTTGCAGCCAGTCCCACCAACTAATGGCATAATCTGTTGAAGAATTAATTCCCTTTCCAGTTAAATATAACAACAATAGGGAACACTAACTCTTAAGTCTCATATAGCCCCAGTAAACCTGTTAACCGAGGCTGCTACACAAACTGCTGGAGTCCTGACCTTGGCCTGTGTTTCTAAGTGGGATTTTTCCATTCCTCTGGAGATCAGTCTCAGTGCTATAAGGCAGCAGCAACAGCTCAACTGCTGTATTTGTGAGGGTCCATGCTCATGGCACAGCCTGGTGCCCTTGCATTAGGGTCCTGCTCTGTCATTGCAGTTTGCACTGAGGAGCATTCATCATTTCAAGGTCATCCCAAGCCCTCTGACTTCTGAATCTTGCGTGGAGATAACAGCAGCATTTGCTTTGCTGTAAACACTTCCAGTTGCTGTTGGTTTACCTTTGGCCCAACAGCTCTTGTTCTTGAGCTTTTCAAATGCTGTTTTCCATGCTCTCCTGCTATTTTGTTCTGCTCGATATCATTGATGTAGGCTGCACCATGAGCTGCTCCATTAGCAGCCAATTTTCTCTTGAGCTGCCCCAGCTGTTGCAGAGCCTTTGCTAGTGGTGTTCCCAAAGGCGGGGTGAGCTGGTGTGTGGAAGCCGGGTGGTTTCTCTCTGTGCACATATCAAGCACAGACAAATAGTTGGCATCAGCCTTGACAGGTTTCTCTCCCCAGCAGGTTTGGGAAATGGGTTCAGGTCGCAGGTTTCATTAATTATTGTGAGTATTCAGGGGCCAGAAGAGTGTCTCTTTGCTGTCCTACAGCAAATGGAGTTTCTGTGGGTGATTTTCTCACAGCTTTATGTCCCACTGCAGTAACATGGATGGACTTCACCCTGGAGGGGGATTGCTCTGAGACCTGGGTCTATGCTGTGGGCTCCCACAGCACTCATCTTCTCTCAGTCCTGAGCCCCCCCTTCACTGTCCTGGTCCTCAGCATCTTGTTAATGAGGCAAAGCATCTGTTTTGAGCACAGCAGTGAACATTCCCTGAGCAGTTGTGAGTTGTCTTACCAGCCTGTTATTTACGTGCTCCTTCAGGTCACATACTCCCCAGGGTAGGAGTGAGACCTGAGCTCAGCCCATTTATCTTCCATGAGTTGAGGAGAATAAGGAAAACATTTACCTTCTGGCTGATGGTCCGTTCATCTCCTGCTGAACCTTCTGTCTTTCTCTGTCAGGTCTCCTTTTTCTTGAATTATTTTGGGTTCTCTAAGCACCAGTTTTCATCCTTTTTTGACTCTCTTTGGGCAGCTCAATGCGCCTGAGCCAGCAGGCTCAAGGAATCTTGCTGGTCCCTGTGTGCACCGGGACGCACTTCTTCCTTCCTTGTATGGGCAAATCATGAGCCTGATGAAGGCCGTCTGGCTCTGGGCTCCCCCTTCCCTGCTTTCCCCATCACATGTCCCTGTCCCTGCAGATTTATGAGCCCTGGGGATGTCTCTTTCTGTGCACAGTCTGTCCTTGGGATCCTGACTACAAATCCAGCATCTCTGCCCTGGTCCTGTGCTCAGGACACTGCTCCCTGGCAAGGGCTATCCATTGGGCTGACAGGAGCAGGGAGCAGAGCATGACCCTACACTCTCTCTGCCCCCAGGATGGACAGTGGCACTGGGGATGTGCCTTGTGCCTCTGGGGAGCTGGTGGCACTGAAAACTGAGAACAATCTTAAGCCTTTTGCATAATTAATGCCAATTATAAATCCCCCTATTTGTGTTGTATCTCAGAGTGTTTGTGCAAACACTGGGTGCAGGGTGAAAAAACACTAAACTGGGAAAAACCCACCCAGTGCAGAGCCTGGCTTCCAGGATGCCAAGACACCCTCCTCCCTTTATCACAAAGGTGACATTTATGAAGAGCTCAAGGGCAGGTTTTTCCGTGCTGATGGCTCAGCAGCTCTCTGTGTAGCAGCGATAACCAGGTTTCTCAAAGCGCCAGGTCAGCGCAGAGGGGAGGTGCAGTGCTCCATGGAAAACTCTGGCCCTTTTATTCAGTGCCCCTGTCACAGCGAGCTGAACCTGTCACTAGGACATGTGTCCTCTTCAGTCCCATAGGTGCTGAGGCGTGTGCTGGCTTCCTAATTCCTCCTCTGAATAAATATTGCCATGGGGCTGAGACCAGGTTTGCAAATAACTAATAAAAGCTGAAATCCTGGCCTGAAATTAACACTCTTCAGGCTGAATAGGCTTTAAAAGTATGTCTTTTTTTAAATGTCTTTTAAATGTAATTGGCTTTGGAGGGGGGTCAACGAATTGTTGTGGCTGACTCAGGCTGCGTAAGAGCCCACCCCACAGGCAGGGTTCCTCTGGCTTCACTTGTGTTAAACACACAACCTCCTCATAGCATCCTTTCTAAGAAACGGGTTTGGGGGAGCAGGGGCGTGTATGACTAAGTGAGCAATTGTCTCCCTCCAAGGACATTTGGAGAAGTGCAGGAGGTTTGTAATTGTATTTGACTTCAGTGTGCAACTTCCCACGGGCAGAGTGAACCCTGATGTAGTAGCATGGATACCCTAGCACAAAGCTCTTGACGTATGTTTCAGCAGCACTGTTGTGGTTTAGTAAATGCCTGCAGGACAAATATAGGTGTCAAATGGTGACCTCAGGCCTCTTCCTTACTATTCACAGCAGGTTTCCCCACAACCTCTGAAACAGCTGCGTAAATTAGGGCACAATGGATAAATCTTGGTTTGTGTCAGTGTAGCACAGGGTTTGACCCTTTTGTGTTGCTTCACTCATGTCCAAGTGCAGTGATCACCACCTGTAGCTGTGCTGTAGACCAGCCTCAAGTGCCTGGTGACTAGATTTGGAGGCTCTGTCTCCCCAGCAGCTTTTGCTTTGCTGCAGTGAGTGCAGCAGAGGCATCGCTGGTGTCTGAGGGTGTTGTCCCTTTAGCCTTGCACCAGCATGCAATCCTCATCATGATTGCTTCAGGCCCAGTCATGGAAGCAGGTATGAAAACCACATAGTGGATGTGATGAATGCTTCTGGTGTTGAGCAGCAGGAAATAGGGTCCTCTGGTCAAGAAGATGTGTTGTTCTTTGTGTTTTGTTAAATAAATAGGGAATTGAGTCCCAGGAGTATGGATGCTAGTACCCCTCATCTCACTTCTAACTACCATTCTAGATGCATTATTTCCTCCCCAGAAATGAGGACTGGGAAGGGACAGCTGCCAAGAGAGATCCAATAAGCTACGCTAGGAAGCTGCTTAGATTATAGTGCTACCTAATAGAGGTTACATGCTTCATATGAGCCTGACACAGGAGAGATTTTCCTTATAGACTATCTGTTAGAGTTAAACAAGTATTAACTGGCTGGTGACTGCAACCTTTACTGGGTTGGCTTTTTTTTGTACAAGGAAAGGGATTTTAAATGCATTCCATGAAGTTAAACTGCCTGGAAATCAGTGAATTTTGCAAGGGAGAAAGGCTTCTGTAAATGTAACTCATTTCAAAGATACATTAAATCTGGTTCTTTAGTTACTGGGTTGCTTAAAAATGCAAATTAACCACTGGCCAAAATCAATTTCTTTTGCAGCTTGAATTTCAGTGGAGTCCATCTGGCATCTGCTGGGCAGTTTAGTGACTTCCTGGGCAGCATGGGCCCTGCACAGTTTGTTGGGCGTCAGACCTTGGCCACCACCTCGATGGGTAAGGAACAAAAAGATATAGGTGGCTTTAATGTAATCTTGAACAGACTGCTCCTACGAGCCACCTAGTAACACATCCAGCATCTGCTGATATGCCACTCTCCCTCTCTGTTTCTCTGTTAAATCAAATAAGCTTGGCTGAAAGGTTTTGCTGATGGCTGCAAATGCAGTGTTAGTAGGAGAGCACCAGCTTTGTGCTTTCTGCCATCAGATCTGAAAGGCATAGACTAGGTAAAACCAATTACAATCCTGAAAGCACATCCTGTGCATCTTCATGGGGTTTTCTGCTCTCTAGGGCCCACCAGGCTCTGTAAAGGTTTTCTTACAGTCCACCACAATTGCATTTACCAGAGGAGCCTACAGTTCTAGGTGCTTCCCTATGGGAGAGATGAGAGGCTAGCAGCCACTGAAAAGTGTGAGACTGAGTCACCAAAGCCATGTAGACGGCTGGCAGTAGAGATTGCTTTTGAAAATGTGGGCCTGAATCACTGTAGAGCTGCTTGAGTGTAATGCAGGAGGAGATCAGACACTCAGGGCCTACAGTTTGTTACAGCTCATAGCAGGCATGACATGAAAATTGTTTTTTATAACATTTTAATAACCCACAGATGTATTGTTTTGAAAGTCTTCTGTCTGTTTTGACATTTTGGTTTAGGGGATGTGGAAATTGGCTTGCAAGAGCGAAACGGGCAGCTAGAAGTGGATATCATTCAGGCTCGAGGACTGACACCAAAACCCGGCTCCAAAACACTGCCAGGTAGTGTGCTTTGACCTCCTCAAGTGATTTGCTGAGCTCCAGCCTCCTGCAATGCTTGTGAATAGGAAAAAGTGTAATTCTGCTTGGCTTCTGCAGGAATAAGCAGTCTGTATGCAGTATTGAAAATAAGGCTGGTTGAGGAAATCTTTTCACTGCTGTAAATGCCTTCTTTAGAAATACCTGAGACATGGCACTGTCTTTTCTAAAGTGAGCATGAAGGTATTTTCCATATTTGACCATCTTTATTTTTTCCAGCTGCTTACATCAAAGCTTACCTGCTAGAGAATGGCGTGTGCATTGCGAAAAAGAAGACAAAAGTGGCTCGCAAATCATTAGACCCTTTGTACAATCAGGTGTTACTGTTTGCTGAGAGCCCCCAGGGCAAAGTATTACAGGTAAGATGAGCAAGTCTCAGGTCTGCCCATCTTTCTCTTCCACCTCTGTTGGAAGATACTAAGTCTGGCAAGGGATCTGGATAATTAATATAGATGAGAAAAAGCCAATGTTTTCATTGAACCAAATGCACTCAATCTGAACAAAACAAATGGAAAGGAAGACCTTTTTTTCATGTTCAAACTGATCATTGTTTGACACCCTGGCAGTTAACATGAGAACCTGCAGGAAAAGATTGAGTTTTATTTTCTTAATTCTTTTTTTCCCACCCAGTTAGGAGCTAGGTAGTACCTACAGGTGCTAAACAGTCTTGCAGTATAGGTTGTCTTCTGTTGTCTTTTATACATATTTAGAGCACTCTGCTTTGTTCATCACTCCATCACATATCCTATTTTTTTTCTACTTCTTTTTGATTACTACCATACATAACTCTCCCTCACTCAGATTTTCAGTTCTGCACCTAGAGCAAAGAGTGACTTGCGTTGTTAATTCATACATAAATCATTTCCACCCAATACGGCCTGGCTAAAATCCACTGCTCATACTGATGTAATTAATCCATGAGTTTCTGTTGCTTACCTTCACTGGCATATGAATTGCCAGCTACCCTGCTGGATCCTTCTCTTAATGAGCTCTTCCTCATTTTTGGTGGTTAGAAGCATTTTCCTCTGCACATTTTGGCTGGAATGAGGTAGGACCTAGCTTGGTCTGCTCTTGCCTTACCCACTGCCTTATTGCCAGGAAAGACACTTACTCCAAGAGAATAAAATGAGGAGTTTGGCTCTCTGCCAGTGGCCATGCCACCAAACCAGCTTTCTGCAGTGGCTTGCTCCATCTCGCACTGCCCTAGAGAGTTAATTTTCGTCTTTTAATTGACATTGGTTGTCTCTCCTACCTCATTTTACAGAAAACTGTAATTTTGTGGTTATTTGGAGCCTAGGGAAAGAAGCTGTCAGGATTAGCCAGAAATCACTAATCACTGTCATAACCCATCGTACTCATCCTCTCCTCTCCAGAACAGGGACTCACTCTGGAGTCAGTCGTCACCTTTGTCTTGAGCCACATAGGGCCACTTGGCCACGTACAGGCCTCCAGCATGCCTAAGCCCATGACCCTCACTACATCTGTTGTTCCACTCGCTGGTCTCCATCGTGTCGTAAGTGTGATTCAGCTTTCCCTGCTGGTCTGCCAGCTCTTTCATTAGACCTTCCTCTGTGTGTGCAAGCCTGTCTCAGCAGTGCGCTCTGCCCCCCTGCATGCCACCCCATGTGTGCCCCTTGCGTCACCGCTCCCTCTTGCCAGCACTCAGCTCCTGCCCTTTCTCCAGGTGAGCTGCCGGCCTCGTCTCCATCTGCCCTGTCTCACGAGCTCTGAGTGCAGAAGTTAAGACGAGCTGTTTTCCTGGAGCTCTTGGCTTTTGACCCAAGCTGTTGCCCACCTTTTTTTGTTGGATAATTTTCCCAGATCAGGAGCTCTTCCTGCCCTTTTCCCCTGGGCCTCCTTTTGTTGTGTTGAAGGCCTGTTACTGTGCCAGGGCCAAAATGTTGGAGCTGCAGCTCTGGGGATACTTCATGCATGTGCTGTCCCTGTCCAGCAGGTAAAACAGCAGAACGGTGTCTCATCCACAAGCACAGTCACCTGTTTTCCATGGGAGTGGGGGGAGAAGTCTGCTAACATTAGGGTTTGTAAAACCATGCTTAAAAAGATAAGATCATCAGCCAGAGCTGCACATCATCTGTTGGTAGCTTAAACCTTTCTGCTCTTCTCAGACTGTAGTAAAACCCTGGGAGGCTGGGTGAGTAGAAGGAAGGATTGATCGGACTTGTGCTTCCCAAGCAAGTGTGCAGGTTGGAGGACTAACTGTGTTCCCTCCTCTTGTTCCTAAGGTGATAGTCTGGGGAAACTATGGAAGGATGGAGCGCAAGCACTTCATGGGAGTCGCCAGGGTCCTCCTGGAAGAACTGGATTTGTCAACTTTAGCAATTGGCTGGTACAAGCTTTTCCCAACCTCCTCGATGGTAGATCCCACTACAGGCCCGCTCCTGCGTCAGTCCTCACAGCTTTCCCTGGAGAGCACAGTGGGACCCTGCTGTGACAGGTCTTAGTGAGTAAGCAAGGGGGAACTGCTTTTGTTTTTTAAACATGCTGTCAAGGTTTTGTTTGCTGGAACTCTGACCTCAAGCGCAATGCATGTTCAATCAGTTCTTGTGGAGCTGGAAGAGGAGGATAAACCAGTGACCTTAGACAGAAGACAAGGGGGAGGGCGCTGTGCCCTCTCCATCCGAGGAGGAGGTGCCGTGGGGCATGAGTCCTAGTTGTCAAATTAGACATACACCTCTTGTTTCACTTCTCTCGCTGTCATTCTTGGACCCTTGTTTCAGATCAGTATTAACCCTGGAAAGTTGCAGCATTTGGAAGAATTTGGGGGAGTAAGGAAGGAATTTTTCTTAACTGTGCATCTTAGAAATTTCTAATACAGATTCTTTCATGAGAAGGTACCTGAAAAATTCAGAGGCCAGTATCTGACCTGAAAGAGCAGGAGCAGAAAGTTTAAGAGGAAGCATTAGGGTTTTTATAAGGTCTTTCTTCTTGAAAGGAAGAAAAGAAAGAAACCTGCAACTCTTTCTTTAGAATCAGTTCCCTATCACTGAGTCATGTTAACTGTAACACTGTCATTGCTGTGTTTCCAAACTGTGCCAAATTACCAGCAAGTGTCTTTACTGCATTACTTGTCTAACACTGCTGATGAAGCATACTTGGTGGGAGAATAAGTAGCGCCTACTTAGACCAGACAGTCTGAACAGAGTTTGAGTTGAGCAGGCTAATTAACTGCAATTTTGCTCAGAAAAAAAGCCCTTAGAAGTGGGAGCTGAACATCAGACTTGCAGCTTGAGATATGTTTTGTATTGTCAGATACAATGTTCTGCAATTTACTGACTCCCTTACTTGTTGCTGTGCATCCTTCAGTCACGATGTCTTCTATCTCCTGCTTTTCTTCCATCTCCTTTGTGGTGGTACATATCTGCTGGAGATGCCACCCTTCCTGTTGTGCTGTGGACTGACCTGAAACAGGACTGTTTTATTCTGCCATGGGAGAGGAGATTGAGGTTTCTGTGGGTGCAGAAGAAAGAAACCTCAGCTTGTCATCTGACAAAAAGGTGCTGGAGAGCACATAACCTTCCTTGAGGAGAGAGGTGCTTTAGGCAGTCTTGGTAGTACACAAACAGTGTCAAGTGTTCTGCAAGAGGAGATGCAATCCCCAAAGTATGGAGAGGTGGTAGGTGAGGAAGCTGAAGATGCAGTGGTCACAGCATGTATATTTTGTTCATTGAAGTGCAACACTAGCTGTAAACAAGTCTTGTAGGTTAAGCCAGCAACACATGTTCTCTGAGCTGCTGAGCTGTGGTCAGCAGTCACGTGCTGGAGTAAGCGCGCTGGATCCTTCAGACAATTAAAATCATCTTATCCACAAACCACAGAGAATCTCCAGAGATTTTCTGTTGAATGACCTGTTTTGGCTAGGTTTTGTCTTAGTTCCTAATGAGGATTTGAGGACTGCTGTCTCAGCTTTTGGAGATGTTTTACTTTGTGATTTAAAAGTGAAGGTCCCATGTCACGTTTAGGGATGAGCAGATTCTCAGCCTGTCGTAGGGGCACACTGAACATTTATTTCTGCATGTGGACCTCAGCTTCGTTAGAATAAAAGCATGAGTGTTGAGTGGATGGTAAAAGCAGTTGCTTTTGGTCCTAGCTTGTCTATGGCATTTTAAATTATTTTGAGATAAATTACAGGATAGATGCAAAAATAATAGGCCTTACAGTAATCTCTGTAAAAAACTACATAATATAAAGGAGAGGGAAGGAGAATGAGGGACATAGAATGAATAGGTTTTTTTAGTCTTCAGTGGTAAAAGCCTCAACATTTCAGATAAATCTCTTAATTTCCTTGATCAAATATGTCTCTGGCCTCTCACTAATTATTTTTTCTAATCGTATTAGACAATTTCTATATATTAGCTGAAGAAAGTTTGTTGCATGCTGGTCAAACTATGTTGTGGCTCTCTCTTTCAGTTTTCTTTCTGAGAAAAAAGCACATTTACTGTAATTCAAGTCAGCATCTTTTCCTCTTGGTATGTAGTGAGTACTAGGCAATATTGTACAATATGTGTATGAACTAGAATAGATTAGGTAGATTTAGTGGTTTGTAGCACTGGATCTTTTAATAACTATGTCTTTAAAAGGACTTTGGGGAGCTCCAGGTATATGCCAGACCTGGCAGCTGAGTAACAGGGCTTTTGTCTTAAGTTATGCTGAAAACTTTATATTGGTACTTAGTTTGGACATTATCTACCAATAATAGCTAGTTAATCATGGTTTTCCTGTGTCCAGTAAGATGAATACAATGTTTTTGCAGTCTTTAATACGGAGTAGGAGACTATATATGCCAAAAACATTCCCCTAGAAAACTTTAATGACTGTTTGAAAAGCTCAGTTGCTGTACGCCTGGCAAATGTGACATGTCTCTATATCCTACCCCTCCAAAAGCTCTGCAAGCTCAGTGACGATCAGTTTAGTTACAATAGGACTACTTAACACTGAGGACTATTTTCCGAATGGTTTTAATCATGCTAAAATGTCACTGTCAGGGTAGGAAAAAACCAAAACCAAGTTACAGTTCCACTTGTGTTATTTTTGTCAGCGTCTCAGATTCTGACATTTGGAGGCAGTTTTAAGAGTCTGCTCCGTCCTGTTTTCTTCTGCATTTTTTACATGGTTGATTGTAGTCCAGTGGTTCTCGCTTTTGTTTCTACTCACTTCCAAGTCCTGTTTCTCCCCAGTAAGAGAACGTTGCAACCCCTGGCTGCCACACACAGCACAGTCACATGAACTGGCAAGTGCAGTTGATCTTCCTTCGTGCAGCAGACTTACAGGAGCCCCTCTGAGAGCACCCACAGGGCGCAGAGTGAGGCCAGAAGGGTTGCACGGTACCCTGCAGCCTAGATCCTTGCTTCACTCGCACCCATGATTCCTTCACTGACCATGATATATTACAGTTAAAACAAATGTCTAGTTATCTGTCAATTTAAGACACTCAGTATCACATCCAAGGCAAGTCTTAGGCTTGGAATAACTGATTTTTATAAAGCCTAACCTTTTTTTTCCCCAAAAAATTTGACTTGCCAGTTTATCTAAGGTGATGTGATATGACAGTTGGGATTGCCAGTATGGTCATGTAAAAAGTAGCAGTTTGCTAGAATGACGAGGAGGTGAAAACTGAGTTTTGGTCCCCTTTGCAAGTCCTGAAGGAGTTTTAACTGTGTCTGAGGGAAGCTGTTATAGTCAAGTAGGGGGAGGGAGAAAAACAGACTTTAAAAAGGAAAAAGAGGTATCGTAGTACTTCTGTGAGCGATGATGAGGGGTGCGATTGAGGAGGAATAGATAATAAACACCTGCCCAGCTCAGGGTTGATTCCCCATTCCTTGTGCATGGAATATTGCATTCTAATAGTAATGGGAGGATTGCTTGTCAAAAGAGAAAGTGGAGAACTGGTTCCTAAATGTTACCGACATTACTATTACCATGAAAAACAAGGGAATGCTGGAGCTGGGAGCAGAATGATCTCTCCACAGCGGGAATCCCCTGCACACAGGGAGCGCAGCCTCGCACTTGGCTTTGTTCTCTTTGTGGTCTGAGCAAAACGCAGCTGTGACCGCGGATATAGACCTGGGTTGTCCAGGAAAAAGATGTGATACTTTCCCAGTCTGCTGGTGTTGCTTTCCCTTTGCCCCAGCACAGCTGGGATGTCACAGAGCCAACACAAGGTCCTCACTCTGTGATTCAATCCGTGGGTCCTCATCCCACAGCCGAAGCTGCGTGGGCAGGCTGGAGCATCCCTTTGGCACTGGCCATGGGTGTTTGTGTCCATGGGCAGGGTAAGGGCCAGGTGACTTTATTGTTTAGCCAAGTACATCCCCACTTCTTGGCCATGGATTGTTCCAAAGGACACTGCAGAATTATTTGCTTTGAATGAAAATCTCTATTTATTGTTTCTAGCTACCAGATCCTTTATCAATGTACTGTTCTAAATTTGCAGGTCTTCTGGAGTATGAATATCACAAGTTCCTGTAAAGGAGCTGTTTTTAAGATGTTGAGGCAGTTAACAGAATCTCAACCTAAGCATGTTTAGTAATGTTTAGACAGCAAGACAACTTTTTTATGAGACTCATTTTAAGTTAGTTTATTACATGCTGGTTTAAAACAGGGAAAATATTTTTCTTTAAAGACAAGATGATGTATGTTTTTTAACAGATAATTTAGTGTTTTCAAAACTGTTTAGTGTTCTGGGTATGATGTTTACTCATTCTTTTGATTTCTATGTTCCTTGTTCTATTTTATCAACTTTTTTTCCACAAGAAAAGAGGCATATGTAAATAAACACCAGAAAAGAGTCCTATAGGAAATTCTGTTCAAACTGGCCATAGAATTATTAGTAAAGATCTGTTATTGTTCATTAACTCTCAGCTACTATTCAAGCCTTTGTTGAAAGAATCGATGTTGTATTTTCAAGATGAGAACTACTTAGCTAGTTTTGTCATAATCCTGTACTCTGTATAAAAATCTTTTTATAAAGAAAGTCTAATAGGCTAACAAGCAATAATATATTCCATTTGGTGTGCACAGATTGTGACTTGCAGGCTGTAGTACATATTGTTGATACAGTTTATAATTGTCTTCAATCTCAGTGGCATCACTTTTGAAAAAGTTCCATATTAACTTTGATTGTAAAAAAAAAGAAACCAACAAAGACTGGGCTGATGCCTTGTGAGATATATTCATCCTATAGACTTCTCTGTGAGTATATGTGCCCATGGACATGAAATCTCTCTTAGGTGAAGAATGAAACAGCTGTAGGTGACTCCATACTACAGAGCTAAGATATAGTTTCAATATAAACTTCATGACTGTTTTGATCTCCCTGTTTTTCTTAGGCTATCTAGTATTTGTAACAAAATGAGAATGGTTCCCACTGCCACTGTAGCCCTGATAAAGCAAAAAAGCCTCTGGGGCCACATGAGTTCTGCCTGACAGCTGCCAATTTTCCTCGAGGTGCCAGGGGCAAGCTAAAGGGAGGGTTTTTTTCTCAAAGCAGCGGATTGAGCTGCTCTTCTTTAAAGGCTTTGTGGGTTATTTTGTCCATTTCATAGGTGGTATTTGTCCATTTTGTTAGGATATTCCACCCAAGGCAGAGGGATCGCACCTTCGCAGAGCATCACGGGGCCCAGCATGTAGAACAGGAAGAGGCTGGTCTGTGCCATTCTTCAGGAGTCAGCTAATGCTGGGCTCATCTAAAGATTTTTCCAAAGTGGCAGGATCAGGATATTGGATTTTAAGTCAGCTCTATCGTTGATGTGGTGCAGAAAATAAACCAGCTTCAGAGCAGCATCCCAATTCATTGCCTGTGGATTTCTCGCATCATTTTCCATAAGAAAAGTCTTAATGTTATCATGGAATGGTTTGGGTTGGAAAGGACCTTAAGATCATCTAGTTCCAACCCCCTGCCATGGGCAGGGACACCTTACACTAGGCCGTGTTGCCCAAGACTCTGTCCAGCCTGGCCTTGAACACTGCCAGGGATGGAGCATTTACCACTTCTTTGGGCAATCTGTGCCAGCTCCTCACCACCCTCACAGTAAAGAACTTCTTCCTTATATCTAACCTGAACTTCCCTTGTTTAGTTTTAAGCCATCACCCGTTGTCCTGTTGCTACAGTCCCTGATGAAGAGTCCCTCTCTGGCATCGTTTGTAGGCCCCTTCAGATACTGGAAGGCTGCTATGAGATCTCCTCACAGCTTCTCTTCTCCAGGCTGAACAGCCCCAGCTCTCTCAGCCTGTCCTCATACAGGAGGTGCTCCAGCCCCTGATCATCCTCGTGGCCTCGTCTGGACTTGCTCCAACAGTTCCATTTTGTTCTGTGTTGTTCTCAAGGTGGGCCAAGCAGGCAGCAAGTCACTGGCTCAGTGATGCTGGCAGCCACTATGAATAGTGAAATAATTCACGTTTTTGTTGTGAAATGCTTTGAGAAGTAAGAGACGTGTAAATGCAAAACAGTGTCAGCAGAGAAGTCCAGGGCATATTGAGACCTGGAGCGAGCATCTAAAGTGACGCTACAGCTATCAAATTTGAGCCTTAGGGAGGTGAAACCCCTCAGAAGGGGCTGTCAGGTTGCACAGTCAGTATCTCATTTCTCTGTCTGATCCCTTTGCCTGTGCAGGACCCATCAGCCAAGTCTGGGGACACTGGTAAAACCCCATAGCCCTCCGTGTAACTGATGGTCTTGCCTGGCTTTCCAGCGTGCCTCTGTGAATGGGCAGTTCCCCAGGGGGTTTGCAGGTGATCAGGTAGTCTCAAAACATGGCTAAAGAGGCTTAAACCCACACTGCCAGACTCCTCCTCTCTGCTCAGTGTCCAGCCCCAGCCTCCCACTGATCACAGCAGCATCGGACTTATTCCTGGGGGAGCCTCAACCTCTCCTCATAGTGTAGACACCCTTCTGCCTGCCCTTCCCTGGGGGAGCTGCTCTCATCCTCTTGGAGGAGAAGAACTGGGGAGAGTTTCTTGTAGTATTTGGTTCTTTGCTCTTTAGCAGCTGAAACTGAGAAGGAGCCAACACCAGCCCTTTACAGAGCACCAGCAAACAGAGGCTGCGACCTAGCGATTTTCTCTTGGTGACTCTCCAGTGGCTAAAAGGGCAGCCAGAGCTGTATTGTTAAACCCCTCTGCTGGGTCAGTAGACAGCCTTTGCCTTTACACTGCACATTGCCAGTGTGGGCTTGAGACCCCTGTGCATAGGTAGGGCTCTGGCTTGCAGCAAGGCCACATCCGGCTCTGTTTGCTGGGCCGTGATGGAGCAGAATGGGAAGAATGGAGGCACATCTTCTGCCAAAGCCATGCCCACAGGCTTTCCAGGAGCTAGGTTTTGTAGCTGTCTTGGTGCCACAGGTCTGGATAGCTGCCTGCTGGGGCTCCAGATCCCATTGAACACCAGCCTGGATTTTTAAATCCTGCAGCAGCTTTTTTTCTTTGGGGCTGTCGTTCCTTACCCAGTGCTGCTCACTGGTGTCTGCTCTGGTGATTCCATCTCTTCAACCTGGAGCTGGTTTTGGCTTTGTATGGAGTGAGGAAATGTGAGGGTTGGAGAGTGAATCCAGGGCACGTTCCCCCAGCCTCACCGTGCTGGGGCTGCAGTGCCTCCCCAAACCCCTCTCCTGCAGCACTGCCATGGCCTGACACCCTCCTGGGGTGCCAGTGTCCTGCCCACATTTTGTGGCAGTTCTCAATTCAAACCATGGGGGAGCCTTCCTTCACTGTCCTTGGGAGGAGCTGGGGGTCTTCTGCAGCCCACACCAGAAGGGAGGGGTGGGGATGGAGCTGCCTCTGCACTGGCCAGGGAGAATGGGAGCTCCCAGCAAGCTTTCCTCCAGGTTCCCTTTGCTTTCCTCCTTTGCTTCTCCCTACACGGGTTCTCCCTTTCCCTCTCAGTACGAGGCCTTATTCCAACCCGAGGGGACTGAGGCTGCTGCAGCATCTCTGCAATGAAGCATCCATCACACACTGCCTGGGTGGTGCTGCAGAGCTGGTCTCTGCTTGGACATGGAACCACCACCCCAGCACATCCCCACTGTCACCTCCCCAGCTCTCTGCCTTGTCCCCCTGCTGCCCAAGGGCCTGGCCATGGGGAGGAAAGCTGCTTTCATGGGGTTAAACCTTCTTATTTCATTAATTGTTCCACAAAACCCTCATAGCTTGTCAGGGGCACAGCAGGGCTTCTGCTGCTCCTCTTGCCTTTCCATAGGAGTGGGGGCAGCTGATCTGATGTTTTTTGGCCTCTGTAACCCTCTCCAAAACCTTTTGGAGGCTTTTAACATCATCTGGTGGGATGTAATCTCCGTGGGGCCAGAGGGAACACAGGCAATGGGGCCGGGCAGCTTTCCTGCCACCGTGGCTTGCGAGGTGCATGGGCTGCCTTGGGTGGAAGGTGGGACGCTGGCGCTCATCTGTAGTCAGGAGAGGATTCTGATAGACTTTTTTCCTGTCTGTAGGTTTTATTCAGACACTATGTAATGATTGAGTGATTTACAATTCAGTGTTAATCTAATGAAAACGTTGATAATGGTGATAATAAAACCTTTTTTTTTTCCTATGGTGTGTTGGAGGGGTTTTGTGGTTTTCGCTGTTGCCACCAACTGTTATCTTCAACCTAAGAGTTCAGCAGACCCATCCCTTCTCCTTGTGCCTGCAGGGAATGAGAGCAGCTCAGCCTGGTGTGTCCCAGCGCTGTCCTGGCTCCTTCCAAGTGCTCTCCATGGAAGGGCCTTCTCTGAATCAGCCCCAACTTCAAACCTGCATTTCCCTGGGCTATTTCCAGAGGTAATTTGGCTGTGAGCATCTCCAGGCGTGGAGCTAAGCTTCCTCCCAGCTTATACTCTGCTCAGTACCCCTAGCAGGAGCCTTTGGCTCTTCCTGTTGTCTTCCCACGGCCCTTTATGGTCAACACTGAATCAAGGTTGATTTTGAAACCCTGGAGGTGAAGACACTGCTGGCAGAAAACAGTTGCTGGCCCAGCCTGTTGGGAATACCCTTGGTCAGTGTGGGTGCAGGAGGAGCCTGGGGACCCTTGGGGAAGGGCACCCAGAGGTGCTGTTGGTCCTGGATGGCCTCCAGCTGCAAGCTCTTGGGTGGGGAGCATGTGGGGGCTCTGATGTGACTCCTGCTGTGGGTACGTGGGGGAGGCAGCGTTCCCGTGGGAGCCAACATAAGCCCAGTGTGGTACCCAAGGATGATGAACATCTCCCACCCTCACACCGTCACCAGCTTCCAAAAGCAGGATGGGGCTCAGGCAGTCACTAAGCAACAGCTCAGGCTGCTCAGCACAATAAACCCACACAGGTTCCCTGCTTCCTGCACCATCAGCTCATCACCAGCTCTGCCCTCCACCCGAGATGAGCTCCACGGTGTGGATGTCCCTTGGAATGTGTCCCACGCTCAACATTTGGAGATCTCCATCCACTGCACAGCTCTGATGGCAAGAGTGGCAAGAGCACCACAGCATCCCACCCTAAGCCTTGGGCTGACAGCCTTAGTGAGGGTGGGGGGACATGGGATACAGCAACAAAAGGGATCAGCATGAAATTTCACTACTCAGGAGCTGAGAAGCCAGTGGAAGCCCCATTTTTAAGCCTGTTTTATCAGCTCCCAGCTTGTTTTCTCCCCCCATCCTCTTCCTTTCTATTTAAACCAAGGCTTAGCTGGTCCAGCTTTGGGGCCACTGGTGCAAAGCAGTGCAGCTGCTGAGCACCAGGGGGGCACTGCAGCCAGGGCATCTCAAAGCCCAAATCCTGCCACTTGAGAGACTGGAACAAGCTATTCCCAGTCATCACAAGCCTGCACAGATTTGGGGTGATACCAAAACCCACAGCTGCCTCCAGGGAAAACACCAGGAAAGGTTGGAAACATGGTCACTGGTCAGGGTGGGTGGAGAAGCCCAGTGTATCCCTGTGCGGGGGGCAGACACCATCCCATGATGGGCAAGAGCCAACTGCTTCCCAGCAGACATCCCAGATAACATCCACAGGGATAACATCCCTGGATATAGACACTGCCCGCATCCCTTGTGGCAGGCAAGCCAGCCCTGGTGGACCCCTGCAGCCAGGCAGGGCTGGGGTTTGGGGCTCAGACACATCTCTCTGCTTCCCCTTGTGACAAATAACCAACCACCACCTGGATTCACCTTTTATTAAACTGCCCAGAACAAAAGGAGAGAGCAAAGCCTGCCCTGAGGCCTTCCCAGCACTGGCACTTTGCATGCCTTCCCTACCAGGCAAATGGGATTTTCTTCTGGGAAAACCTCCTCAGAGGGTATTTGAAATAGAACTGAGAGTGAAAATGTGCCTTCTGGGGGGAACGAAAAGTGAAATGAGGCTCCTACCTCTGCTGCTCCTTGCAGACAAGGTGGGATGGACATAGGCCACATTGGGGGTACCAGCTGGAAATAAGCTCCCAGGTGGGGCTGTTCAGGTACCACATCCTGCCTGGGGATGGACGCACACCAGGATGGGATCCCCCCAACTCTGACAACCCCAGAGCAACGAGCACAAACCCACGGGCTCGTGGGGACTGGAGGAGGTGAGGAGCAGTGTGCTCATTGGGCTGGCAGCTGGAGGAAAGAAGGTGGAAGAAAGGGTGATCTTAGCTAATGACCCCATCAGCAGCAGAACCTTTGCACATGGATCTGGTTCGGGGAGGCTCTCCCTGGGGCTGTGCCCTTTGCACAGTCTGGGCTCATCCCAGAGGAGGACTGTGACTGGGCTGGAGTTCAGCTTCCCCATGACTGGGGCATGGCATCCCACCAGCCAGCTCGGCCTGCTGGACCTCCCTGCAGCGAGGCAAGGTGAGCTGGTGGGTATGTGGGTGGGTGGTGGAGCTCCAGCTTCCAGCAGCACTGAGCCAGGCACAAGCCTGAGCTTAGGGTTGGTTGTGGGAGATGCCATGAAGCTGTCCCCATGTGCTGAGCAGCAGGGCTGCATCCTGCTCCCTGCAAGCCTGCTGCATGGCACCTACTTACCTGCTCCTGGTGTCAGAGGATGGCTTAAAGACCACCAGTGCTGCAGGGCTCACTAACACAGACTTTGCTTTTGACACACTCCCATCAAGTGCAGCCCAGCCCATGCAGCAAGAGGCAAGTGCTGGCAGCAGCCACAGCCGGGGTTAGGCAGGGTGGGAGGGCATCAAGACCTTGGTTTGGGGAGCAGGGAGGTGTGAAAGCAAACCTACAGCCTGCTGGACCTCACACTGGGGGGGCCTCTTAGACCCAAACACTTGAACCTACTTTGGAGGAAAAAGCAAAGACAAACAATGCCATTCAGTGCCTGCAAAAAGGAATGATTATTTCTTAACAGGGTTTAAAATCTCCTGCTGGACCCTGCGTGGGGCTGGCTGCCAACTGAACGGGGAAAGGAACAGAAGAAATGAGCGCAGTAATAAGAACCTGACATCTCTGTTCTTAATTTATCATCATAGTAAGACTGGAGCCCCGAGTGCGGCTCGGCACACGCTCCTAGATGGATTTCCTCCGCAGCCGGGGGTGCTGCCGGCAGCGAGGGCTGTTGGATGACAAAGTGCTCCCTGGGGAGGAGCCGGTCTGCCCCCGCGTGCTCAGGGACACCTCGTCAATCTTGTAGGAGATGGAGTTGTAATACACGGGGTTGGTGTGGCAGCTCAGCGTCTCGGGGTGCGAGGGCGCCGGGCTGCCGCACAGCTGAGGTCTGTAGCACAGGCACGTGCAGAAGGAGGGGACCGCGGCCGCCGAGTTGGCCGATTGGCACCGCTGCCTCTCCGCATCCTCCTGCATCAGCGGGATGAGGTTCATCTGGCTCGTCCTGTCCTCCACGGGCAGAAATATGGCGTTGCTGCTCCGGCTCTCCTCTTTGGGCTTGAGGTGGATGTTGTTCCGGGCTCTCCTCAGCGATGCTCGCTCCTCGGCGTCGCGCCGCTCGTCCTCAGAGTTCATCGTCAGGAACCGCAGCACCACCAGGTTGAGGAAGGCGCCGATGACGGTCAGGCCCACCAGGATGTACATGAAGCTGAAAGCCACGTACGGGGGCTTCTTTTGCAAAGCCTCGTTCTTCTGCAGAGCCACAAAGTCTCCAAAGCCAATAGTGGTCAAGGTTATGAAGCAGTAGTAATAGGCATGAAAGAAAGTCCAGCCCTCGAAATAAGAGAAGGCTGCTGCGCCGATGCACAGGGTGCCCATGCAGGACAGAAAGCCGACGAGGACCATGTTCTCCATGGAGACATTGGTTGTCCTCATGCCCAGACACTTCTTAATCTTCTTGAGCAGTAGCCGCACAACGGTGTTCATGCGCTCCCCCAGGCTCTGGAACATGACCAGTGTCAGGGGGATGCCCAGGATGGCATAGAACATACAGAACACTTTGCCAGCATCCGTGCCTGGGGCAGCATGCCCATAGCCTGTGGAGGAAACAGGAGAGGCAGGCGTCAAGCCCTCAGTGGGGTTTCCAGTGAGGCTGCCCTGGGACCAAGAGGAGAAGCAGGATAATGGGGGAAACGGAAAATGAACCAGTAACAGATCTGCAGGCAATGCTAACAGGGCCATGGGATGCCACAGCCTTTGGGATGATGGCACATTACAGCATCTTGTGGGCAGAACCTTATTTTGCCTCTAAAAAGAGAAGGTGTAGGAACTATTGGAGTCCATCCCTACAAGAGCAGCTAAGTCTAGGAGGACTTCTGCAGAGCAACTTGGGATTTACTCCAGTGCCATTAAGATTCAGACCTAACGCCCTGCCTAAAAGCAGGGCTTGTGGCTGTTTTAGATGCAGGGAAGTATTTGTGTCACCACAGCCCTGTCAGCCCTTGTCCCGGGGACAAGGAGCTCGAGGAGGACACGGCTGTCCTTGAACACCTTCTGAGATTTAATTTCCCCACCTTGCTCCAAGTTCCCGAGCTGTGACTCAAGGACACACACAATTATCCCGGGAGCCCTAATGAGGCACTCACCACAAGCTTCCGGACTCGGTGGTTCTGCACCATCTCACTTCATTACAGAAGCTGTGCAGGAACCGCTGGCCTCTGACCTCCGTGGATGAGTAACGAACTCGGTGCAACGGAGTCACGCAGCGTGGGGAGGCATCCAAAGGCATCCAAGCCTCTCTTTTGAGTTTCTATGAGAAACCACCAGGGCTGGAAACTTCCCGTCTGAAGGCGCCTGCAGAACAGCGCCGGCTCCTTCCCGTGCTGCTGGGTGCCCCTTTGCAAACACCCATCTCTATTTGCACTTCTTCTGCAGGTGTTCATGTGATTTTTGTGAGAAGAATGGGGGGAACCAGCCTCATTTCTCAGCCTTGCTCAAAGCTGTGGCTTGGCTTCACCTCTGTCTCTGCTCCCAGTGCATTTCCAGGACTCTTAGTGAAGCCGGTAGCAGTGATGGGAAGACCAGAGGATGATAAAACCACATTGTCCCAGGCCCCTGAGCACACCTCCTGCTGCAGGAAACACCTGGGATGGGGCTGGGAGGCTGAGGACAGTGTTATCCTCAACCATGCAGTGCTCCAAACTACAAGCTGGCAGGAAGGGACTAGTTTCTGATTGCTCTGTTCATAAACCCATGCAATCACAACTGATAAACTTAATCCCTGCATGCCACATTTCACAGAATACAGAGCAGACAGGAGACTGCAGTGGCAAAAAAAACCCCACTCAGATCCAGGCTTAATAACTGAGCGTAATTATCAGGTCCTAGGCTACAAGATAATACAGGGGCAGCAATGAGGAGGTAAATATAATGATCCAGAAGAGCGGTGAGTGGAGAAACAATTGTGGTACCCTGAGAGACCGCTGAAAGAGCATTTGACTGATGCTTTGGAAATTACAAAGAGAATTAGGAGGAGTAAACAGAGCTACATTAACATTAAATCTGAGCTTTGGAGCACAGCCCAACACAGAGATCTGCCGTGCCAGCGTTTTAGGAATATGGCACCTGGGATGATTTACCACATGGGGTGTGTGATAAGCACAGCAATTGTTTGTCACAGTCAACAGAGAAACAACGTAAATGGAGCTACAACCTGTCCCACGGTGATGGAGATGTTTGCTGGAGCCATTCATCCCACCCCAGGACCTGGGGCCTGACTCCAGCCATGTCCTGAGCTCATCGCTGTTTGCTGGCCATGTGCATGGCTGCTGCACAAGCCCCACAGCACATCTTGGGGGCACACAGAACCCCCCAGGGCAGGGCCTGCAGCACCTCTTATCCCCTGCTGAGTTGATCCCATCAGCCCTTGTCCTGAGGGATGGTGCTTTCAGCTACCAGATGTGTTACCCATCCTGAGCCCCGTCCTACAGGTGAGGAGGTGGAAGGGCAGGGTCTGGCCTCAGGGTCCTGCCTCCAAAGCACATCTGCTCACTGAAATCCCAGCACAAGCGCTGACACAAGCACAGGATCCCCTGACTCTACATCCATGGGCTGCTTGGGGTGTGTGGGTTAATGAAGGTGGATTAATTAAGCTATGCTCAACTCCCATGTGGTCACCTCATCCAGGACTGAGGCAGCTTTATTCGATGTAGTTTCATCCTCTTGCAAACCAAGGCACTGGGCTCTGCTGTGGGTAAGTGTCTGCAGGGGGGGGTCAGAAGATTCACTGCTCCCCTCCAAGCCAACACAGATCTCCCTGCAGGATCCCATGCAGGCAGAGCACACTCGGTGTCTGGTGGCTGTCCTGGCAGCCTGAACCGGGTCTCACACAGCCAAACACCCAGAGGTTCGAGCTGGCAAAGAAGCCAGGAGTTCTTGGCCAGCTCTTCAGCCTGGCTTGCTGGCTACAACTGCCCGGCTCCCACCTCTGCCACCCTGCCAGCTTCTTCAGCTGCCTGCCATGAAGGTGCTGCAGGAGCTCCATGTGCTGCTGCCTCCCTGGGGCATCGTGCCTGTCCCATTGTGTAGCCTCAGCCATAGCGCATCCCTGTTCTCCCCCAGGACCGGGTGGCCTCCAGCCAACCCTTGGATCACCTCTCCCAGCACTGGGCATGGGGGTCCCCCAGAGATGTCCCAGCCCTGCAGGGGTGAGACCAGCCTCTCCTGGGCAGGTAACCCCCTGGGGACCATGAAGGTGTGGGAGGTGCAGGGGTGGAGGGATGGAGAGGTGCTGGTATAGGGGTGCTGGGACAGCAGGAAATGGGGGTGCAGGGATGTCGGGATGAAGAGGTGCCTGGACAGGAGGATAGATGAATGCAGGGATGTGTAGGTGATGGGGTGCCAGCATAACATGATGGAGAGATGCTAGAATAGGGGGTGCTGGGATGTGGGGATAATGGGGTGTAGGGAAGTGAGGCTGGAAATGTGGTGGGACAGGCAGATAGGTGGGCATGGGGATGTGGGAATGCTGGGGTGCCAGGACAGCAGGATGGAGAGATGCTGAGATGAGGGGGTGTGGGATGTGGGGACGATGGGGTGCCGGGACAGCGGTGCGGAGGGGCGCAGGACACAAGCCGGGTGCCAGCGCTCACCTATGGTGGTGATGACCGTGATGGCGAAGTAGAAGGAGCCGGCGAACTTCCACTGCCTCCCGGCGCGGTGCGGCTCGGCCTGCAGCACCAGCCGCTCCAGCTCCCGGTAGTCATCGGCGGAGAAGCGGTACTTCCTCCGCAGCTCCCCGCGCTTCTGCTCCAGCAGCCGCTTGCGGCCGCTCTCCGCTTCCGACTCCAGCGCATCGAAGACGGCGGCGCCCACCAGCAGGTAGGAGAAGATGCAGAGGATGAGCGCGGCCGTGCGCAGGTTCTGCCGCTTCATGGCGAGGGGCGGCCGCGGCGCCTCAGCCCGGGCTCCGCATGGCCCCCGCCGCACCCCCCCCCCCCCCCGCGCCCCGCCTGCGCGCCGCCCCCCAAACCCCGCGCACCGGCACCGGGACCGCCCGCACCGGTAGCGGGACCGGCACCGGGACCGCCCGCATCGGGACCGCGCAGCGCCCAACGGCACCGCCGTGGGGACCGCCCGTAGCGGTAACGGGACCGGCACCGGGACCGCCCCGTCCCAAACCCCGACCCGGCCCTGGACGCCGGTAAGGGGCCGTGTCCCCGGCTGGGGGAGCCTTATCCCAGTGCTGTCCCCACCTGCAGAAATGGGAGTACAGGCTGGTAGAAACCAGGTTTATTCTTTGATTGTTCAGCTTCTAAACCCCACACGGTAACGTTTCAGGAGAATGGAAATACAAAGCATCATTAAGCAGACAGGTAACTTTGCTATCACCAAACCTGGAAAATAAACCTGCCTTTGTTCCAACACAGCCTTTGGAATTCTTGCTAACATCAGTAAGTGACAGAGTCTGTTAATGGTCACTGAAACTGTGTTAGAATGTTTGGAACAGCGCTTACAAACAGGGAAATACACAGCCGCAGCCACTGCACACTATGCTCATGAAGTGGATGGTCCAACACCATCTGCTGGGATTGTCCCCATGCCTGCAAGCAGGGATGTCCTGCAGGACCTCCTGCCCTTACTCCCCAGCCTAATTACACCAGACCAGTAAGATGCAGCTAATTTTTAGGCAGAACAAACTGATTACTGGCTGCAGGGCAGCCCGAGCTGGCCCTGTCCCCACTTCACACCCAGGGCAGTGGAACTCTGCAGTCTGTGCTACCAGCGGTATCTCCGCTCTTGCCAGCCGTCACCAGAGAGGGTTTCCAGCCTGGTGCTGTTTTAGGAGAGCAGGACAGAACAGAGTGACCAGGTCTGGTGTTCCTGCTGAGTTCTTTGCCATGTCCACGAGATGCATGTAGTTCCTAGGGACTGTAACAGGAGGACAAGGGGTAATGGGTTAAAACTTAAACAGAAGAGATTCAGGTTAGAAATAAGCTCTTAACAGTGTGCTGAGGCACTGGCACAGGGTGCCCAGAGAAGCTGTGGCTGCCCCATCCCTGGCAGTGCTCAAGGCCAGGTTGGACACAGGGGCTTGGAGCAAGCTGCTCCAGTGGAAGGGGTCCCTGCCCGTGGCAGAGGCTGGAACTGGAGGAGCTTTAAGGTCCCTTCCAACCCAATCCAGTCTGTAATTCTATGCAGGGATGCAGGGCATGGTCCCACCAGCCCATGCTCGGGCGAGGGCAATGAGCGGAACCTCCCTGCACCATTGCCCCATGGACAGCTCTGGGGTCTGGGGCAATCAGCCAGGGTAGGAAGCAGAGCCCATAGCGTGCAGCCACTGCTTCTCATTCCTGGTCTCCTGAGCTTTTATGTAACTCTTATGTTTCGCTTTCAAAAATAGACACTTCATCGAGCCGTATGTTGCAGGAGATAGCATCTCCGACAAGGAATAAGCTCTTTCTTTTGACTGGGAATAAAACAAACCAGGAAAACAAATCAGCGAGCAGGCTTACATCCCTCTTCATCCACGCCGCCTCTCTCTGGAGAGGACAGGATGTTTAAGGCTTTAATTGCAGCGAAGGAGGATTGAATCGGATGGAACAAAAACTTTTTAACCATGAAGACAGTCAAACACCAGAACAGATTGCTTGGGGAGATTGTGGCAGCCCCATCACTGGAGGACGTTAAGGATAAGATAAGCAGATGTCTGCATGTCTGTGATAGCGCTCTGGACACAGCTGATGCTCTCCTGGAGCCCCTTCCAGCCCTGCCCTCAGCATTTCCATGGGCAGCACGTCCCACTGTAATGGTGAACCCTTTGTCACCCTGAACATTCCCACTTCCCACCTCCTTGCCGAGCCTCGTTAGTGAAAGTTGTTGACGAATTAAAAGCTCAGGCCCAGCATCCATCACCAGCAGCACAAGCTGTCGGTGCGCTGCTGCTCAACATCATAGCGCTTCCAGCCTCCTAAATCACTCGGCAAAGCCTGTGCTGAAGGAATGTGTCTGGTTCCTGTTCTCCGTGGTGTCGGTCACAGCCCTGCTAACAGGGATGCTGTCAAACCTCCGGACCCACAGCAGTGTGGGGCTGCATGCTAGGGGAGATGTGCTTCACCTGCTGTTGGTAGTGTTTTCAGCAATGACATCCCACCTTGAAGACAGGACACAGTGCTGCTGATTGAGCTCCTGCTGGTTCCATTACAGAGGAAGGAGATCTTACAGTGGTTTTCCTGCTTGCAGCAAGCACTGGGGCATGAACGAGACCAGACTCTGTCTTGTTGTGCAGGACAGTCCCTCCTGAGGCAGAGGGAAGTTTCATACTTTCCCACTGTTAAGGTCCCTCAGCTCAACCTTTGTCTCCCTCCCCAGCTTCACTGTGCTTGAGAAAGGTCAGGCTGGAGCCGCAGGATCAGGCCAGGGAAGATAATGTACTTTATCATTGATTTCCAGTGAGAAATTGCATTATGAGATTAAATGTCTCATTTTTATTGCATGGGGAGGCAGACAGAAAGCAAAGGCTCTGAAAATAAAACACAAGCCGGAGTGATGTGTTTCTGTTGTAAGGTGCTTGTGACTGGGAACAAATGTACCTTGTTTGCTCAGCCCTTTGGAGGTGAACTTTGAGAAGCTGCTTCCTTCAGAGGCTGGTAAACAAAGTCAGACCTCATCTGTGTTTCAACCAGTGCCTAATGAACGTGTCTAATTGCCCCACATCCACTAATTCCAGGCTGGCAGGGAATTTATTGAAAAGCTTTTCTAGTTTTAATGGCTTGAAATAAGCAAAGCTGCTGAGGCAAAAGATGCTAAATGGGGACCAGCAGCGTGGGTCTGAGTCAGTCCCACAGCCCAGTGTATGTGGGGAGAGGTGGGAGCTTCCCATCAGTGTCTGTGCCTGCACAGACAGCTCCTGGTGCCCCAGCAAAGGGGATGACATTGGTGGGACGTGCAGTACCGGCTGCTCTGCTTCTTTTGGGTATTTTTAAAGGCCAAATAGATGTTTCCTTTTGCCTCAGTAAAAGCATCAGCTATTCTGGCTTTATTGCCATTTAATACTGAGATAACAGCCTCGCGATTCCACGGGATATTTTTAAAGCAATGGATTAGTTAATTTCTAGAGAGGATTAGATACTGAGATATGAATAACAACCAGCTGCAGCCACCCAGAGGAGAGCAGGACTCCCAGCACTGCTCAGAGCAATCCCTCCTTTCCATGTAAGGGGACACAGCGATGTCCTCTTCTATGGACAGGGTCCCTGACCTGGACATAGTATTTGTTTCTGCCCCATCACTCCATAAGTACTCCCCTGCTAGCCAGAGCTCACTTGTCCTTGTCCTGCAGGCATGCTCAGGGTTACTGGAGGCTCAGGAGCATTGAGGTTTTCTCTTGGCTCTGGGATCTTCCTGCTCCTCCATCCCTGCCTCTCTGCTGCTCAGATGACTGCAGGTGCCTTGCTCTGTGTTGTAACCTGGAAGCTCAGCACGGGAATTAATGAAGCATTGGGTATAAACTGGTTGAAAATGCAGATTGTCTCCACCTGGTCACCATGGATGTGGCCGGCAGGTTTCAAACACCAGGGCAGGTGGACACAGCTCCACGTACCACTGGCTTCAACCACCTTATCTAGAGCCAGCCATGCTAAACCTTGGCCATACCTCCTGATACCCCATAGCCCATTAGTGAGCCTTCCCTAAGTGGGTCCTTGCAAGTGGCTGCACAGCCCCATCCTTCTCCCCCTCTTTCCCCAAGCAGCCTGCTCTGACAGCGGTTGTACACGAAGCAGACCTGGGCTGGAAATGCTGACAGTGCTCTTGACAGTTTATAGTCACAAACTCTATTTTCAGCCTAATAAGTTTTTTATATGCTTGGAAAGCTGTCAGTTGAACATCAGCCAGGCACAAAGTACCTGCCATAAAGTGCCTGGACCGCAACCAAACGGGAAAGGTGCTGCTCTACTTTAGCAAGATCTTGATCTCGGCTGCTTTATCTGGTTCATTTAATTGGTTTGAGCATCCTGGCTTTACTATTAAAATAATAATATAAAATAATAGTGCCCCTGCTTAATAATCTGTGGAAATATTCACTGAGAAGCTGTTAAATCCAAGCTGGCAACCTGTTTGGATTGGGAGGCTCTGTGGTGCTGCTGCTGGTGCTGGTCCTTGCAAGGAGTCCCTGGACCCCAGTGACAAAGGAGAGAGGCTTTGGGAATGTGTCTGGAGAAGGATCGCACTTCCTGATAAGGTTAACCTGGAGATGAGCTGCCTCGGCCATGACTGCAGGCTCCCATGGACACATGCCCACACCAAACCCTTGGCCAGGCACAGAGCAGGACCTGATCCGGCTCCCACCGTGGCACCGTCATGATGCTATAAATGACTTTCCTGCATCAGAGCCCGCGGGGTTGCCAGGAAGGTCAGGGGTGGGGGGGCAAAGGCTCTGGGAATGAATCACAAATATGTGAGGCTCTTTCCGAGGGTGCCCCGGTGGCATCTTCACCCCTGTCCTTCAAGGCAGCACCGCACTGCAGGGACAGGAAAGGGCTCCTGTGGGACACCCTGGGTGGGTGACGGGCTCTGTCATGCCGTGTGAGACATCATATCCCATGTGGCACCCGGTGAACACCATGGCCCCTGCGGGTGGCTTCAGAACTTAAGGGTCCTCCTTCATGGTCAGGTCCCTGTGGCACCCTCCTGCCCATAGGGCAGTGGGTCCCATTGCAGGGCACCACAGGCTGCCTGGGGCAGGAGGGAGCAGTGGTGGCTCCCAGCCCAGCGGGTGAGACCGGGCAGTGCAGCAGTCGGGGCGGTGAGCGGGTGGTGCGGGAGCTGCGGCAGCGCTGTCTGCACCCCATCCCTCTGCTGCTTCCCAGGCAGTTTACAGCAAATGGCCCATTTCAATGCTAAAAATAACCCGGTAGGAAACAAACTGGCCCCAGCACTCCATCTGGGGAAAAGTGCATTTACTGGTAAAACTCAAGACGTCCTTTCCTGTTCTGCCTCTGAAGCCCAGGGAACCGGTG